CTGAGGTGGGAGAAAGCCATTTAAGAAAAGCCAATGAACAGAAAGCAGAACTGGATAGGGTTAGGCCCACATATCCTTCTTTTGAGGAAGGGGGATTGATCAAACCTTTGTCCAGAAGCCTGTCACCTGAGACTTTAAGACCCGTGGCCATGCTATTCACCTTTAGCTGGCTGACGGGTGCCCGGTTTTGTCGTTTGTGAAAAGACGTCACCTAAGGGAGAGACATCTCCCAGGAAAGAAAAGAAGAGTCCGCTTTTACTCACCCTTCGGTGGAAGTGATCCCGGGTTTCGGCACCAAAATGAAGCGGGAGAGCTAGGTTCTTGTCTCAGGAAGTTGAAGAATGAATCTTGAGGACAATAGAAGTTTATTAAGTGACAATACAGAAAAAGCTCTCAAGAGGGGGGGTCCTGACAGGGCTGCCCTAAATCCTGTGTTTTTTATACACATCTCCATTTTGAGTAGCTGCATTTCAAGTGCTCAATATTCAAATATGGCCAGTGGCTATCATATTGGACAGTGACGTCTAGAGGCTTGATTGGATTCAGGTTAAACATCCTTGGTAAGAATGCTTCGTGGATGATACTGTGTACTATCCATTGCATTATATCAGGAGCCTCATAGTACCTCTGTCCTACTATTAGTGATATTAAGTTTTATCAGTTAGGTAAAGGGTTTGCTGCCAGAATTTTCCACCATAAAAGATTCATTTTCCTCCCTTCCAAATGTAGAAAGTAATCTGTACCTATTCCTTGGGCACCATGAGTCTATCCATACCCTTTGCCCAATGATTATAGAATCCATTGACAGTCCTTGTAGGAACCAATTATTATACTGCAATTACAAAATGGTAATTTCTTATAATTCCCTTTGCATCTGTTAGCTGGCCATCTTCTACGAAAAAAGAAAATGTTTACTATTCACTGAAAGGTGTTGTTTACATTAGGAATTTTCCTTTACTCCTTTTCCTTAGGATGCAAGGATTGCAGAGAGTCCACACGGACACCTTATAGGACTGGAAGTGCACTGGTGAGGTGAGTAGCCAGGAGAGGTAAGGAAGTTTAGAGATCTGGAAGATGAATGGATTGGTTAAGCTAAGACTACTGTGGCAGGTAGATATCAACATTTCACTGGCTTAACACATAGGAGTCTACTTTTGCTTATGTAAAAGTCCTGTGTGGGTGTTCCTACTTAACAGGTGGTCTTTCTCTAGGCTGTCATTCAGGGACACATGCTCCTATCATCTGGTGGCTCTGGCATTACCTAAGGCCTTGAAGTCCCTGCATCTAGGCTGAAGGAAAAGAGAGAACAGAGAAGGTCATTCACCTCTTAACTGCCTTGACCTGGAAGTGAAATACATAATTTCCACTTATACTTGCTAGAGAGAGCTAGTCAATTAGCCCCTCTTATATGCAAGGGGTGGGGTATTCCTCTAGTACAGCTACTTTCCTGAAACATCTATTTTCTGTAGAAGGGACATTTAGTCATCTCTGCCACAATGTAGCTGAGAGGCCGTTGACTAGAGGATAGAAGTGTGTTTCCTGGCTCTTTCTCCTTTTTACTCCACCAGTGGCAAGTAAATTTTATTTTTTTATTTACTCTCAAAAGGACTAGGAGAGATTCCTTTAAAAAAGCCTCCTGGGCAGCCATGATTCCTATTTAAAAACAGGAAAAAAAAAAAAAAAAGAAAGAAAGAATGGGAAAGAAAACCATAGAAGTGAGTATAGAAGGCACTGAAAAATATTTCATGAATTACTTTACAAAATGTACTGGTGGGGAAAAATAGATGTGGGGAAAATGCAAGAGTGATCTAAACTGAGAGAGATTTATCCCATTTCTACACCATAAGCTCTCTATTGAAGAGATGTTTAAGCACTTACATACATGATATCTAGTATCTGAGATACGGATATAATCCTAAAATATTATCTCTAAATAACTGTGTATGTAGCAATTCTTTTTTTAAAAGATTTTATTTATTTATTTATTTGAGAGAGATAGAGAGAGAGAGCACAGGTGTGCAGGGGGAGGGGTAGAGGGAGAGGGAGAGAGAGAATCTCAAGCAGACTCCCCACTGAGCACAGAGCCTGATGCAGGGCCAGATCTCATGACCCTGAGATCATGACCTGAGCCGAAATCAAGAGTCAGATGCTCAACTGACTGAGCCACCCAGGCACCCCATGTGTGTAGCAATTCTTACAAATATTTTAGACATTCCTAGTCCTAGAACTCATGATCTTGGCCCTAGTGGTCACAAACCTTATAAGGCCACATCTATTGATTCAAATATCTATTGAATATCTACTGTGTGTCAGATACTATTTTAGTTGCTGAAGATACCTTGGTATAAGAATTACACAATCACTGACCTCATGGAGTTGATGGTCAGGTGGGAAAGCAGACCTTAAACAAATAGTTAGCCGTCCATCCCCAAATGAAACGATTTCAGTGATAATAAGTGCTATGAAGAAAAAGTTTGGTGTCCATGAGATTATAAAATGGTGGTGGTGGTGGTGGTGGAGAATTTCAGGAAAGACCTTCCAGGAGTACTGGCACTTAATTTGGGACTTGAAAGAAGAGCAAGTTTTGCTACATAGAGTGGGGGAAAGGGTGTTCTAAGTGGAGAAAAGAGTAAATTTGAAGGCCGAGTGGTAGAGAGAAGTTTGACAAGTTAGGAGCAAAGAGAGGCTATTGTGTGGGACTGAGAGGGACAATGAGTAATGCCAGTTATGGTGGGGTGTAGGGGTAGGAGTCAGATCATGTGGGGTTTTGTAGGCCAAGCTAAGGATTTTTAAGTTTAGCCTAACAACAAGGGAGGAGAATCTGGAAGTATGGAAGCATCCTTATGATTACACGATTATAATCTTTATGATTATAGTTATAATTAAAAAAGATTACTCTAGCAGTAGCTATGTTAGACATGAAAACATTTTACAATAATTAAAACAGTACTGGCAGGTGAATTAAATGGCAACTCAATGTACAGAAGAGAAAGTTCAGCAAAAGACCCACCCAAATATATATAGGAAATTTGTATGTGGTAAACATGACATTTTAAAATAAGTGGGGAGAAAATGGATTACTTATTAACATTTTGGGATACCTGAGTATCCTTCTTGAGAAAGAATAAAGTTGGACCTATACTTCAGAAATTTAAGGACACAAAATGAAGTCATAAAAAACCCAGAAGAAATCATGGGAAAAGTACAAAAAGTAATATTGTGGGTGGGGAATGCCTTTTCTGAGTAGGTTTCAAAATCTAGGTATCACAATAATGGTGGCTTGTCCTAGGCCCTGGAGAGATGGCAGTAGATAGCTTCATGGCATATTTTAGAGGTGGAATCATCAGGAGGATGATATTGAATGGGGGTGGATGAAAGAGGGAGAGCGTAGAAAGATGTCTAGGATGACTTAATGACTTCTAAATTTGTAGTTTGAGGCATCCAGTGAGTGGTAATATTGCCTCCTGAGATGGGGAATAAGGGAGGAGGGATTGTTGCAAGGATGATTAAAAAAAAATTCAGCTTTGTGTTAAAATATTTCGTGCTCCAAAGGACACAACCAAGAAAGTGAAAAGACAACACAGAGAAAAACTATTTGCAAACCTGATAAGGGAGTTATATCCAGAATATATAAAGAACTCTTAAAACTCAATAATGAAAAGACAAATAACCCATGAAAAAATGGGCAAAAGATTTGAAAGACATTTCTTTAAAGAAGATACATGAATGGCCAATAAGCACACAAAAAGATGATTAACAATATCATTAGTCATTAGGAAAATGCAGATAAAAACCACAATGAGATATTTCACACCCACTAGGATTGCTATAATCAAAAAGATAGAAACTAACAACAGTAAATGACCATATGGAGAAAATGGAACCCTCCTACATTGCTGGTAGGAATGTAAAATGGTGCAGTAACTTTAAAAAAAGTTTGGCAGCTTATCAATCTGTTAAACATAGAGCTACCATATGATTCCATAATTTCATTCCTATATGCTTACCCTAGAGAAATAACACATGGCCACACGAAGCCTTCTACAGGAATGTTCATACAGCATTATTCATAATAACCAAAAAGTAGACACAACGCACCAAATGTCCACCAACTAATGAATGGTTAAACAAAATGTGGAATCTTTATACAATAGAATATTTGGCAATAAAAAGAAATTTAAGTATTGATACAAGTTACAGCAGAGATAATCCTCAAAAACATGTGAGGTGAAAACAGTCAATCAAAAAACTACATATTATATACCATGTATATGAAATATCCAGGATAGGCAAGTCTATAGAAACAGAATATGGATTAGTAATTACCTAGGGCTGGGACGGGGAGGAGAAAGGGAGAGAATAGGAGTGACTGCTTATGATTACAAAATTTTGGGGGGGGGGGTAATGAAAATGTTCCAAAATTAAATTATAGAGATGATTGAACCACTCTGTAAATATATAAAAAGCCATTGGTTTGTATGTTTTATTTTATTTTTTAAAGATTTTTTATTATTCATTTGAGACACAGAGTGAGAGAGAGAGCATGAGCAGGGAGGGGGAGAGGCAGAGGGAGAAGCAGGCTTCCCGCTGAGCAGGGAGCCCGACGGGGGGCTCGATCCCGGGACCCCGGATCATGACCTGGGCGGAGGCAGACGCCCAACCATCTGAGCCACCCAGGCGCCCGAGTTGTATGTTTTAAACAGGTGCACTTTATAGTATGTAAATTCTATCTCTAATAAAGCTCTTAAAAAAATTCAACTTGTGATATATTAACTTTCCTAAATAAACCTGTGAATTCTCTTAAAGAACTCTGTTCTGGGGATGTCAGAAGCCGCAGAGTTTAGGGAACGAAAAAGACCAGGATGGGAAATAAATTGACAGAACATTTTATTTTCCTCCTCCAGGTGCTTCGAATGAGGCCACGCCCTTTCTTCGTTCCCTAGCAACCGACTCCCTAGCCACTAGCTCTCTTTCTCGAGCCTTACTCTGTCGTCACTTCCGCTCTGCGACAGGAAGCGAGGTCAGAGCCGGCAGCTTTCCCGGGAGTTTGGCGTTTACTGGTCTGCTTCCGCTGAAGAAGTGGTTCTTTCCCTGCAACGTCCCGCTCTATGCCAAGTCCCACCTGCCCGCCTGCTGGTGAGGCTCTGGAGGAGTCTAGAGGGCTTCGAGGGTCCAGAGATCCGCGCGAGAGGAAGGTGAGGCCCGGGAACGCATGGCTCCCAGGGCAGAGTAGGGGACTGGCGGGGGCAACTCTTGGGGTATATGTGGCATCCCTTCAGCTTGGCTTCGTTTATCTACTGCGGCACCGAGAGCTTTTCACTTCTCGCCTGCGGACCACCTTGGTTTCTGGAAATTGGGACTTTTCGGCCTCCCTCCCCCAACGTCCCACCTCCTGCCTTTGAAAGAAGACCCCTCATACGGAAGGCTCGCCCAGGGCTCGCCTGGCTGCTGACTCCCAATCCCGCGCAGACCCTGAAGTGATCCGTCATGACCTCAGTGTGAGCTAGTGACCAACTTGTGACACTTTCCGGAGTCCTAGGGTAAATGTTTATCCGTGCGCATGGTCGTGTGTGTATGAGTGTCCTTTATTTCCTGCAGATTATGAGCTAGGAGAATCCTGGGCTGTGTTTGGCCAGTGTGTGTTTTGGCTTTTCTTTAACTTCTCTGCCAGTGTTTTTTCCTTGTTCTTGCACATCAAACAACTTCATGCCGCCTGTTAGGTGGTAGGAATTAGCACACTGGAATTCCAGCACACTGGAATTAGGCTGGAAGCGCCCAGGAGTTACTGATTTTTTTTTTTTTTTTTTGGATCTTAGCTTGATCTTTGAGGAGTTCAGTGACCTGTTTGATTTAGGGCGATTTTTAGTCAGTTTTAAGTGTTTATGTTTAATTATTATCACTTTTTATTTTTAAGTTTTTAATGTGTTTGTGTCTTACATCCAAGACCACAGGTTCTTCTTGGACAGAGACTGTCATATAGTACTGTTGTGACCCTCATAGCCCCAAGCACAATGCTGAACACATATAAAGGCTCATTAATTTTTAAATTTAAATGGCAGAAAATACACATTCTAACATTTTCAACTTAATATTGAAGGGGTCTATTTAAAGATAGTTCAGCTCCTGGAAAGGAAAACATAAAACAAGGTCTTTTTAGATAAATGTGTTTAAAATTTAGAGGCTGCCTAGAAGACTAGATACAGTGGTTTCAGTAGAAGAGAAATATGGTGCATCTGTCTTTTAGGAAGAGAACACAAATAATGGTGTTTCATTGCTTGTATCTTTTCTTCTCCTCCTCCTCCTCCTCCTTCTTTTTATTTTATTTTGTCTTTTTTTTTTTAAAGTAGGTGTTGTATCCTGACTTACAGACCCAGAGGTGCTTGCTGCCATTATGGGAAATCAGCTTGCTGGCATTGCTCCTTCCCAGATCCTTTCTGTGGAGAGTTATTTCTCAGACATCCATGACTTTGAATATGATAAGAGCCTGGGAAGTACTCGGTTTTTTAAAGTTGCTCGAGCGAAGCACCGAGAAGGCCTGGTGGTTGTGAAGGTCTTTGCAATTCAGGATCCCACATTGCCTTTAACCAGCTATAAACAAGAGCTGGAGGAACTGAAAATCAGGCTTCATTCTGCACAGAACTGTCTACCTTTTCAGAAAGCAGTAGAAAAAGCATCTGAGAAAGCAGCCATGCTCTTTAGGCAGTATGTGCGAGACAACCTCTATGATCGCATCAGTACCCGTCCATTCTTAAATAACATTGAGAAGCGTTGGATTGCTTTCCAGATCCTAACAGCGGTGGACCAAGCACACAAATCTGGAGTCCGTCATGGGGACATCAAGACTGAGAATGTAATGGTCACCAGTTGGAATTGGGTCCTTCTAACTGATTTCGCCAGTTTTAAGCCCACTTATCTTCCAGAGGACAACCCAGCGGATTTCAACTATTTCTTTGACACTTCTAGGAGGAGAACTTGCTATATTGCTCCTGAACGTTTTGTCGATGGTGGATTGTTTGCTACTGAGTTAGAATATATGAGAGATCCTTCAACTCCACTTGTAGACTTACACAGTAATCAGAGAACAAGAGGAGAGTTGAAGAGGGCAATGGATATCTTTTCAGCAGGTATTCGGATTGGTCAAATTTGCCAAGGGGGGATGTGCATATATTTTAACTCTGGAACATTGAAATGTAGCTTTTAGAAAATCCCGTATGTTGAGAAATTATTTTCTTGGTATCTCATACGCTATTCAGATAGATACAGCAGTTTTTCTTTGGACATGTTTAATTGCCTAGGAAATACAGAGTGGTTCATTTATTCAAATATTTAAAAAATATTTGAATTCTTCTGTATGTATCAGGCATGTCTTTTTTTTTTTTTTTAAAGTGAACTCTACCCCCAATGTGGTGCTCAAACTCATGACTCATGATCAAGAGTCACATGCTCTACCCACTGAGCCAGCCAGGTACCCCAAGGCACTGTCTTAAGTGCTGGAGGTGGATGGACAGTTATGTCCCTCTTTTCTTTTTCTTTTTTTTGTAATGTCCCTCTTTTCAAGGTGTTTACATTTAATGGGGAGATAGATATGATATTGAAAGAGGACATTTCAATGCAGAGTGATTTGCTGTGGGGGTGATAAGCACAGGGTGCTGTTATAGGAGTATAGAAATATTTAAATTAATCTTAATGGTACGGGTAGAGAGGCAGTATCAGGAAAGGCCTCTTTATTGGAAAGATCATACAAGTTTTTTAAAGATTTATTTATTTTAGAGAGAGTGCTCGCTTGTGTGTGCACGAGTTGGGGGAGGGGCAGAGGGAGAGGATCTTCAAGCCAGCTCTCCCGCTGGGCAGGGAGCTTGACGCTGGGCTTGATCTCAAGACCCAAGAGATCATGACTTGAACTGAAACCAAGAGTCAGACGCTTAACTGACTGAGCCCCTGGAAGGATGATTTTTTTTTTTTTTTTAAAGATTTTAATTATTTGAGAGAGAGCACAAGAAGGGGTAGGGTCAGAGGAAGAAGCAGACTCCCTGCTGAGCAGGGAGCCTGATGCGGGACTCGATCCCAGGACTCTGGGATCATGACCTGGGCCGAAGGCAGTCGTTTGACCAGCTGAGCCACCCAGGCACCCTGGAAGGATGATTTTTAAACGGAACTAAAAGATGATTGGGAGCTAGCTATGGCAAGGATAGCTTGTTTCAGGCAGAGTGTTGCTTATACAAAGACTTGAACACCAGAGCATGAGGCACTGATTTATTAGGACACTTAAAGTAGTTTACTATATCTGGAACATAAGAGTGTAGAGTGTGAGGTAAGCAAGCCCCAGATCAGAAAGGGTCTGGCGTGCCCGTGCTATTCTACGGGGGCATTATCAGGTAAGTATTTTAGATAAACCCTGTAGCATGGAGAGTAGATTGCAGGAGAACTACCTTGGAGAGGGGAAAACTAGCTAGAAGTAAACTGCCGTAGTCCAGATAAGACGTGACCCTGACAAGCTTAAAGTTGTGATAGAATTGGAGAGGGAGTGGAAAAAAGAATACTTCAGAGATAGGTAGAATTGTTAGGACTTGGTGATTGATTGGTAGGTGAAGTCAAGAGCACTCCTTTCACCCCGGGTTGGGAAATTGGGTGGATTGGCAATGATGGTCACTGACATAGGAGAAATAGGAGGATGAACAGGTAAGGGGGATGGGAAGATGATGAAGTCTCATTAGATATGTTGAGTTGAAGGTGTCTGGGGGATATCCAGGAGAAGAAGTACAATAGGCAGGGGCGCCTGGGTGGCTCAGTCGTCAAGCGTCTGCCTTCGGCTCAGGTCATGATCCCAGGGTCCTGGGATCGAGCCCCGCATCGGGCTCCCTGGTCTGCAGGAAGCCTGCTTCTCCCTCTCTCACTCCCCCGCTTGTGTTCCTGCTCTCGCTAACTCTCTCTCGTGTCAAATAAATAAATAAAATCTTTAAAAAAAAAAAAAAAAGTACAATAGGCAGTTGCTTATAAAGGTTTGGTGCATAGAGATTTGGGATGGAGGTGGAGATTTGGTAGTTACCAGGAAATAGGTAGTAATTGTAGCCAGTGAGGGTTTGTAGAAAAGTGATTCTTAAGCTTTTTTGGGATCCCCTTAAAGATTTTGTTGAAATCAAGGGCCTCCTTCTCTAGAAGAAAGTACCATGCATTAATATACATTATTTCACATACACACACCACTTGAAGCCAGGCCATGGATTCTAGATTCTTTATGAACTTTTGGGAAGAGAAATGGGCTGAAAATGGTATCCTGAGGAATACCATGTGAACTCTGTATGTATCAGTGCCATTTTTCATGAATTTTGCAAAGGTTGGGTTTAATCTGTCCACTGCAAAGAAAACGTAAATTGAACGGTATTTTAGATTACTTAGGAAAAGTAACGTAATTAATGAAGAAGTGTATTTCATTGAGGGTAATGAACAAGAATTGTTACACAGGTTTGTAACCTCTTTTGGTCCATTCAGCTTACTAATCTGTGTCCTGAGATAATACTGAAGGGTGTTTTTTGATAAGCTTAAGAATTAGCTTCCAGGCTGTGAATATAACAAGATTAGAAATGTAATTCATCAGAGTCCCAACTTTATTGATCAGTGAATTTATCAAAATTTTTGGCAAACCATTTTTACTTTTAAAATTCCTTTAGCTTAGAAATGTGATCACTTTAATCTTGGGACCATTTATAGGCTTTTTTTTTTTTTTTTTTAACTGAGGTATAATTGACATATAACATTACATCCTTGTGACTTATTTTATAACTGGAAGTTTGTTAGAGTTTTAAAATTTCAAGGGTCAATGAAAAGTTTATATTTATCCTTTCTGTGTGCATTATAGTTCCGTAAACTTACTCAGCATTTGTTTTTCTAGACTAAGAGTCCTATACTCTATTGGCTGAAGATAGGCCCTTTAAATTTTTTGAAAGAGGTGGGTGGGATATGTCCACTTTGTACTGCTCCTAAGATTTGATGTAGGCTCTTTGGGTTTTGAATGTTACTTTTCTCCATCTTGATGCACATCCATGGTTCGTGGCTGCTAGTATTGGGGAGGGGTATATATTCTCTGTCTCTGGTCATATAAGTGGGCAGAACCCTTTTCCTGGAGATCTTTCATTCATTTGCTTGACAAATATTTGAGTATTATCTGTCTACTATATATGAGACACTGTGTTGTGTACATGTTGGGAGTACAGCTCTGAACAAGACTGACAAAGTTTTTGCCCTTAAGGAGCTTATGTTCTAGGCAAGTAGAAAGAGAATAAAAAAGTAAACAAGTTAATTTTCGTTAAGTGATAAGTGCTGTGACGGAGTTATGACTTTTAAGTGTTATGACAGAGGTTGGTAGGAGACGACTTTAGATAGAATGGTCAGAGAAGACCTCCTGTATGAGAAGGTAACATTTGAGCTGATATCTGAATTATAAGGACTTAGTGTTGATGAAGACACCTTGAACAATTTGTTCCATAGGGAAATACTGCCTAATAACGCCTTTTCCAGAACAACATTCTAAAAGTTGCCAGAAAAAAGGCCTATATTCACCTCTGTATTAGTTTGCTAGGCTGCCATGACAAAATATCTCAGACTTGGTAGCTTAAACAAAAATTTATTTTCCCTCCGTTCTAGAGGCTGGAAGTCCAAGATCAAGGTGCCAGCAGGAGTGATTTCTCCTGAAGCCACTCTCTTTGGGTTGCAGATGGCCACCTTCTCATGGTGTACTCATAAGGCCTCTTCCTTGGTGCCCCTTCTTACAAGGACACCAGTCATAATGGACTTAGGACCTTATTTAACTTCAGTTACCTTTTTAAAGACCCTGTCACCTGTATTTAGTCAGGTTAAAGGTACTGGGTGTTAGGGCTTAAATATATGAATTTTGGGGAGGTGGGGAGACACAACTCAGTCCATAACAATCCCCATTTTGTTGTAAAGAGTCAAATGTAGCTATGTTTCTTTCTGACTTTTTACTTGGAAATTATTTCAAACTTAGAATACTTTAAAAACTTGCAGAAGAGAATCCCCAGATTCACTTGGTTAACATTTTGCTCCACTTGCTTTATCACCTGTACATTTTTTTTGCGCCCCGCCCCACCCCCCATGATTGCCCCCTGATTAAGTTTCATACATCATGGCTCTTTACTTCTAAATACTTCAGTATATATCCTAAGATCCTATTCTCTTACATAACACTTACATAATTGTATGTTGCAGTTATCAACTGCAGCAAATTTAACATTGATAAAATAATTTACAATTTTAATTCTAATTTTGTTTTTGACCCAATAATGTCCCTTACAGCATTTGAACTGCTCCAGGATGGGACCCAGTCTGGGGTTTGGTATTGCATTTAGTTGTCATGTCTCTTTAGCTTCCTTTTCATTCTTAGCTTCATAGCCATTTTTTGTCATCATGACATTGACATTTTTTGAATACTACCTCTCTCCTTAAATTTTTAAAAATTATTTTTATACTTTTTATTTTAAATGATAGATGTTGCAAAAATAGTGAAGAGTGCTTCTCCCAGCTTCCCCACTAGTGATATCTTATATGACCAGTACCACCTCAAAGTCTGGAATTGACATTGGAGCATTACTGTTAACTAGGTATAGACCTTATTCAGTTTTCACTGGCTTTTACCTGCATTGTGTGTTTGTGTGTGCTCATGCATGTGCTCATGCACCTCACTCCACCCCTTTGTTTTTTCATAGGATGTACCTCATTTAGGGTTTGATTTTTCCTTTTGATTAGATTCGGATTATTCATTCTCAGTATACTGTATATGTGATGATGCATCTTCACAGTATCACATCTAGAGACAAATGATGTTTGTTGGTGATGTTAATTTTGATCACCTGGTCAAGGTCTTGCCTGATTCTCCCCTCTCTAGTTACCTTTTGTTTTTTTAATCCCTTGCAACTAATAAGCAGCCTGTGGGAAGAAACTTAAAGACCATGCAAATACAAAAATATGCAAATAGAGGCCAGTCATCACAACTTCCTTCTTGATTTGGCATCCATTGCTGATTCTTGCCTGACCCAGTCTTTGATTGTAAATGATGATTTTCCAACTCTAGTACTTCCGCCACATTCACCAGTGGGCCCTCGGCATTCTGGCATACTCAAGTGTCCTCTCTTTCCCCTCGTTTTTTTTTTTAAATTATTGGTATGGACTTACTAATTCCTGCACCCAGTTTGCCGGTATTTTTTGGAGGGTTTTTGTGTCTATATTCATCAGGAATATTGGTCTGTAGTTTTCTTTTCTTGTAATGTCTTCGTTTGGTTTGGTACCAGGGTAATTTTGAATGAGTTGGAAAGTGTTACCTTTTCTCCTGTTTCTTTGGGACAATTTGTGAAGGATGGTTAAGTATTTTAACATTTGATAGACTGTGAAGCCTCTGTTAAGGCATCTTGTCTTAGGCTTTTCTTTTGTGGAATGTCTATTATTAATCCAATTTCTTTACTTATAAGGTCTATTGAGATTTTGTTTCTTTTTAAATTAGCTTTGGTAATCTGTATCTTTCCAGGAATCTGTCCATTTTATTTAGGTTATCTAATTTGTTGGCATACAATTGTTCAAAATATAGTTCTTTTTCATTTCTGCAAGGTTGGTAGTGTGTCTCCTTTTTCATACCTTATTTTAGTAGTTTGAGACATCTATCTTTTTAGTAGGAGTCTGTCAGTTTTGTTGAGCTTTTCAAAGCACTAACCTTAGATTTTGTTGATGCTCTCTATTGTGTTCTATTCTGTTTCACAAATTTCCATACCAGTCTTTATTATTCCTTTCCTTCTGTTTGCTTTGGTTTTTGTTTACTTTTCTTGTTTCTTAAGGTTATGGTTAGGTTATTGTCCTGCACTCTTTTACAATATAGGTGTTTATAGTTAACACATTTCCTCTAAACACTGTCCTAGTTGCATCCCATATGTTTTGTATGTTGTGTTTTCATTTTCATTCATCGCAAAGTATTTTTCTCATTTCCCTTTGATACATTGATTATTTAGGAATGTGTTGTTTAATTTCTACACATTTGTGAATTTTTCAGGCTTTCTTCTGTTATTGATCTCTTATTCCATTGTGGTTTGAAGGACATGATTTGTATAATTTCAGTCCTTTTAAACTTACTGAGGCTTGTTTTATGGCCTAGCATATGGTCTAACCTGGAGAGTGTTCCATGTGTACCTGCGAAGAATTTGTATTCCTCTATTGTTGGGTGGAGTGTTCTTTTGATGTCTGTGTTAGATCCAGTTGGTTTGTAGGGTTGGTCCGGTCTTCTATTTTCCTTCTTGCTTATGGTATTTTTAATAGCTATTTTAAGTCTTTTATTCTAAAACTTGACACAAATAGGTAGAGATTAATTTAAGAACTTTATTGAGTGTTTATTATGTGTCAGGAACTGTTTAGTTCCTGGAAATTTTTTAGTGAGCAAAATAGGTGAAAATCCCTTCCTGAAAATCCCTTATAGAGTGTAAAGTGGAGTTTACACTCTAGTGGGTATACAAGATGGTAAAGAAAATAAATCCGTAATATATTTAATTTGGCAATTGGTGCTGTGGGGAAAAACAGCAGGGAAAGGGAAAAGGGAACATGCCAGGCAAGAAGTATGGGGTAGTTGTGGTGGTGGGGCTTGCAATTTTAAACTGGTTAGTTTACTTACTGCTAATATTCTAAATGACATTTGATGAAGGACCTGAAGGAGGTGGAGGTATAAGTCAGGGGGACATTTTGGGGAGTGCCATTCTAGGTAGAGAGACCAGCAGATGCAGATGCTGTGAACTAAGGTTATTTAAGGATCTTTTTAAGACTTGTGAAATATAGGAGTGCCTGGGTGGCTCAGTTGGTTGAGTGTTTGACTCTTGATTTCAGCTCACGTCATGATCTCAGAGTCATGAGATCGAGCCCCACATGGGGTTCCACATTGAGTCTGGAACCTGCTTAAGATTCTTTCCCTCTGCCACTGCCCCCCCCCCCCCCCCCCCCCCCCGCCCAATCCCACATGCACCTACACTCTTTCTCTTTCTGTCTTAGAAAAAAAAAGACTTGTGAAATGCAGGTCATATACTGATTCAGTGAAACTGGTTTGTCCTTTTTGGAATGTGGATAGATTTTTTTTATTCCTTGTTTGAAGATTATGTAAGTGCATAATGATTGGGTTATCTTTCCTTCCCTTTCTAGTCTTATACCTGTACTTTGTAACACTCCTCACGTTTGTTCACTGGTTTATTTTATCTGTCTTCCTAGAATGAAAGCTTCATGAGGGCAAGGATTTTATCTATTATATGCACTGCTAGTGTCTAGTGTCTAGTAGACACCTAATAACTTTTTGTTTGATGGTGAATAAATGAGTTGTCAGATATGAATTCTCAGTTCCTTATGAACTTAATGTCTAGAATAAGTCCATATTTTAAAAAAAATCATTATTCCTTGTGACTTGTAATCTGTCTGTAAATATATGTATGTATATATTATATACAAACATTCATTTTAAATTTGAGAACGAGGAAGTAATTTCATTTGATTTTTCTTTTTTAGGATGGAGAAATATTCACTGGGCTTCTTTTGACTTTACACTGAAACTGATGATAAGGCAATAGACATTTTCCTGTCTTGCTTGATCGTAGTTGTATGTTGTGTTAAAATTTTTAATTCAGTTTACTTAGGGATTTTCATTTTGAGTTTTGCAAATTCTCTGAATTCTTGATCTGTATTAAAGATACCTTGTATTGCATTTTTAATGGATTTATATTTGTTATTTTCCAGGTTGTGTTATAGCTGAGCTTTTTACAGAAGGTGTACCACTGTTTGATCTCTCTCAACTTCTGGCTTATAGAAATGGACAGTTTTTCCCGGAACAAGTGCTAAATAAAATTGAAGATCGCAGTATCAGAGAATTGGTAACTATGCTACAAGTATTCTCCACTAGGTTTTAATAGAATTGTGTTCTCACTTTTGCATTAGACAGCTCTCTGGAATTTTATGAATTTGGAACAAAGCAATAAAGCCCCATAGACAATTACGAACAGCCTATTTTTATTTACTTTGTTAGGGAGAAGTGTATAATACTTTACCTCTTTTCAGGCACAGAGCTCATTTGACTAAATTTTATATGTATATAAACCATGCATAATGTTACACACACACACACACACACACACGCACGTCTTCAGCTCTGCTTTGGATAGATTTGGGAGGAAGTAAAGAGGTGCCTGAGGGTTAGAGATGTTGTCCAGGATAGAGCTTGCTAGTAAGAAATGAAGACATATATCTAAAACGAAAGAGACAGGAAACATTAACTTGAATATAATACAGTAGTATAGGGCCATTTCATATAGAAACACCTAGCTTGGTATGTCTCTCTTGAGGCTGTTCTGGAAAGGAAGGCTATAGAATCACTAATTAGTATAGCAGAACAGATATAAAGAATTCTGTGGGAGGTCACATAAGCCATATATCCACCTTACTGTTTGAGGGGATCTTTATTAAGTCCATCAATACAGTAACTGATGGCTTATAATGATGATAACTCTCAGTCATAGAAAGTTATAGTATATTAAAATATTCTGTTTTAATTTCTCTTACAAATGGCAAGTATTAAAAAATAAGATGTTTTAGAGGAAGCCAGTTTAGCTCATGTTCAGTGAACCGTGCACTGGATTAGGAGTTGGTATACCTGGCTGTTCTGTCTTTGGGTATGGCACTCATCTGTCATGTTACATTGGCTAAGTGACTTCATGAGTTTGGGCCTGCATTTTCTTAACTATGAAAGGAGTGAATCTGACGAATCTTTAAGGCTTAATCTGAATGTAAAAGGAATTCTATTTAAGTCACTTTTCCTGATATTTATAGTTCATTTGATTCCTTGCAAGTTCAATGCTAGGTGCCTATTTAGAATATACATAGAAAGCTCTAACTAGATATATTTTTATGATATTTTAAGTACTTAAATAATGACTGATTCACTGAAGATCTAGGAAAAATTAAGCTGTGCTCTGTATATTGAAAGAAAATTATTTCCCTAAGATGTCAGAAAAGATGATAAATTCAAATTAGGTATATCATTTCTAGGGTTTGTAGGAGTTAACATCTCTTATACACTTGAGAAGTTTAAACCACTGATTCCCTTTTTGACTAGATCCTAGAACTACACTTAAACCATGTAGTCCCTTGGACTTGGGGTATTAAGACTCTAAATCATAACTGAGATATGTAAATAAATTATAGTGGTTCTCTGATTCTTTTCAGAATCGTGTGTAATTTTATATGTAAAAATGTGTATACAGTTTTGTTCTGGAGAAAATCCCATTGTTTTCCTCAAATTCTCAGTGGTATTACCCCACTCAAAAATGTTTAAGAATCCTTGAGTTGTGGGCAGCAATGTATTACTCCCCTGTCTTAATAAATGGGAATGCTGAACAGGGTATATCTCCCTTTGTGTCTGGGCCATCTGTAATACATTACTATATAATTCCTTGTTGCTCTGTAGGATAGTAGTAGAGTCACATATTACTTGTAGTCCGGTTCTGAAAGTCGTTTGAAAGGCAAAGATTGAGAAGAGTCAGAGTTACCTCAGAAATTCTTTATGTCATGTTTAAGTTGCCCTTGTAGCTTTCATCTGATTTAATCTGCTGTTCTCAAATCTATTTTTTACTCCTTTTCTCCCCTTGGTGTAGGTAACTCAGATGATTCATCGTGAGCCAGATAAACGTTTAGGGGCAGAAGATTACCTAAAGCAGCAGCGTGGCAATGCCTTTCCTGAAATATTTTACACATTCCTTCAGCCCTACATGGCCCAGTTTGCCAAGGAAACATTTCTTTCTGCAGATGAGCGCATTCTGGTTATACGGAAGGATTTGGCCAACATAATTCACAATCTTTGTGGACATGATCTGCCAGAAAAAGCAGAAGGAGAGCCTAAGGAAAATGGGCTGGTTATCTTGGTGTCTGTTATAACGTCCTGTCTGCAGACCCTTAAATACTGTGATTCCAAACTTGCTGCTTTGGAACTTATTTTGCATTTGGCCCCAAGATTAAGTGTAGAAATTCTTTTGGATCGTATTACTCCATATCTTTTGCATTTCAGCAATGACTCTGTTCCTAGAGTGAGGGCTGAGGCCTTGAGGACGTTGACCAAAGTTCTTGCTCTTGTCAAAGAGGTTCCTCGCAATGATGTCAATATCTATCCGGAATATATTCTGCCAGGCATAGCCCATTTAGCCCAAGATGATGCTACTATTGTTAGACTAGCCTATGCTGGTAAGAGTTTATTGTCCAAGTAATAGCTGCTCATATATTTTTTTTTTTTAAAGATTTTATTTAATTGACAGAGAGAGACAGCGTGAGAGGGAACACAAGCAGGGGGAGTGGGAGAGGCAGAAGCAGGCTTCCGGCCAAGCAGGGAGCCTGATGTGGGGCTCGATCCCAGGACCCTGGGATCATGACCTGAGCCGAAGGCAGTCACTTAACCAACTTAGCCACCCAGGTGCCCCTAGCTGCTCATATTTTTGAAGTTAGTGACTATAATACCTCTTGTTTCTCTTATTTGGGAATTCCAAGAGTGAATTATAGTCCTTGAACTATTTGTGTACATTTTAATAATTTTTGTAGTTAATCTGTTCCTGGGACTCAACTTTTGATTGTACTCATTTTTGAAGTGATCAGAATTATAAAGTGAAAAATACGTAATATAGAATTCTATGATTTTACTTGGTATACTACATTTAATTTGGAGTGAGACTAATGTTTACAAGTATGTTCTGACTTAGTGTCTTTAGGCCTTTATGAAGTTTCTCTGAACAGATATGCTAGTTTGAATATCACCTGTAGGATACAAGTCTATTGCCATTCAAAAAGATGAATTTTGCTGGATAATTTGGTGTTGAAAGGTTAGCCTATTACCAGATTTTAAGGTCCTTTTAGTTACTATAGTGCTTAAGGTGTGTGGCTTCTTTGTGATGAGGTTATAACACATCCACCTGTTTTATTTGTAATTCTTACTCATAAAATTCATGTTCTTAGCTCCCCAAATTAATTCTGCATACTAATTTTTGCATGAAAGATGTCACTGAAACATTAACACAATTCATAATTTATTTTTAATATAATCTGGAAATCACAGATTCTGTTTTGGTCTTTGTAAATAGTACATAAAGTGTGGTGATGATATTGTCACTTTTTTGAAAGGTACTTGCTAGGTTTATTAAATTTACTATTTGCCTGTCATTTTAATGGAACATATGAAAAATGGTTTTTGGACTCTGGCCTTATCTCTAGGTACACCCACAAAGTGGTGGTTGTTGGGATTTTTATTTTCCCTTATACGTATATTTTTATTTATATTTATCCATTGCCTATTATTTATGGTTTCTGGTTTCCGTAACTGTATAGGTATACATGTTAGGCCTAGAAAATTCAGGATTTCTTTAAGAAAGGTACATTTGAGTTTATAATTTGTAGCATAGCATATTTATAATTCACTTGGCAAACATAATTAAACCAGAAAAATCAATAAAAGTTTATAGGTTTTAAAAACAAGCTGTATCTTTCTTTAGAGTTTTATTACCTACTGTTGGTCTTAGTTTGTTCTCAGTTGTGTTAAATGGGTAAGGTTCTGATGTGTAGGTGCTATATTAACATTGTGACAGTCAATTACTAATAGGGATAGCAGAAAAATAATAACTACTATTTATTGAAAAACCTGTGTCAGAGCATCTGCTGCTCAAGGTTGCAAGGATTTGTTGCAAGAGATATATAAATTTTAAGATAGATTTCAGATTCTAAGATATATGGATTCTAAGATCTGTATATCTTTTGCAACCAGTCCTTGCAACAACCTTGAGCAATAGATGTTATATTACGTTCATTTTACAAGTGAGGAAATTGGGAATGGGAGAGGCTAAACAATATGACCTAAATGTATCTGGTCTCACTCTTTCTCAGTTCTCAGAGCTGCTGTCTATACCTTGACTCTGAAGCAACTCTTCTTTTCTTTGGTCTTCTGGGTCTTTATGGTGAGAGTCTATGGTAACCCAGGGTCAGTGCTGGTACCTTGCAGTGTCCCTTCATCGTGGCTTAGTGCATGATAAAGCTGTCTTTTTTTCAGTAGAGCCAGAAGTCTATTTGAACTTTTATGGTTAAGTATAATTAAACCACACACGTCAGTAATCCTAAAAGTTTAAAATCAATTTTTAAATGTCTTTTACGGTATTCTTTTTAGACTCAGAGGTGGTATAGATTTGTATCTTGTGTAAACTTTCAAGTGTGTTGTGGTGTATGAACTTAAATGGGGAAAGAGGCATAGATCTACTCAGATTTTAGAAGTACCCAGGAAAGTAAGAGACTTTTCCTAATAAAGATACATCCATTAAAGTGGGGACATTCATCTAGAATTTGACTTATTATCAGAGGATGGCCCAAACTCTCCCATCTTTAGGGTGAGCTTGCATTACAGGTATTCACGTACAGTACGCACTACAGTAACTAAAAGGACCTTAAAATCTGGTAATAGGCTAACCTTTCAACACCAAATTATCCAGCAAAATTCATCTTTTTGAATGGCAATAGACTTGTATCCTACAGTTGATATTCAAACTAGCATATCTGTTCAGAGAAACTTCATAAAGACCTAAAGACACTAAGTCAGAACATACTTGTAAACATTAGTCTCACTCCAAATTAAATGTAGTGATCCTTTGGGTACTTAGAGGTAAATTTTTGTTCTTCAGAACAATGTTGAACCTGTTGGGGGTTCGGAGGGGGTGGGACTCCAAGATAAAAGTAATCACTACATTTGATAGTCTCAGCAATCTCAACTCTTGTGAGATGCACCTCAATTGTAGTCGTGTTAAAAATTAAGGAAAAAGTGAGTCTGAGAATTGATTAAGGTAGTTAATTAAGCTCTATGTTCAGTGCTGTTTATTGCTAAGGAAAAGAGTGCAGTCTTCTGGTACAGTCATATGTTAAGACGCACAGAAGTGGGAGGGAAAGAAGGATAGAGATACAGGCATAAATAAAAAATGGAAGGGAGAAGAAAGTGTAAGCAGATCTGATAGCAAATGTGACAGCAGAAATTAGATATTTTCACAGTGGTAAGGAATATCAGACAGTCTTAGGAGATTATAGAGAAAGGAGAAAATACAACTGCAGAAACATGGCAATACTTTGGTTCATTAAGAAATTCAGAGTATCACAAGGAAAGCAATCTAATAATGGTTGATTCAGTTTAGTAATAGCTCTTTGAGGTAGATGTGACTTATGTATGTGTGAAACATACTCATATGTTAAGCAGCCACCTAGTAAGTGTCAGGGGCTGAGATTTGAGACGGGTCTGTGATTCTGAAGCCCAGCTTAGCCTGTTATTTTATTTATTTATTTTTTTAAAGATTTTATTTATTTGTCAGAGAGAGTGAGAGAGAGAGGCGGGCAGAGGGAGATGCAGGCTCCCTGCTGAGCAAGGAGCCTGATGCGGGACTTGATCCCAGGACCCTGGGATCATGACCTGAGCCGAAGGCAGACACCCTACTGACAGAGCCACCCAGGCATCTCAGCCTGTTATTTTAATGTGAATGTTTCTCTGTTGGTCTAATGTATATCTCTCACCTGTTAAGATACTGTTTGTAGGTCTCTGTAGAAGGATTAAGCTTTTCCCTCAGTAGATTTGAATGCTATATTTTGGGATATTTTGTATTTTTTTCCCAGTCTTATTGAGATATAATTGACCTATATTACTGTATAAGTTTAAGGTGTAAAGTATAATGGTTTGACTTACATATATTCTAAAATGATTACCACAAGTTTAGTTGGCTTCCATCCTCTCATATAGGTACAATGAAAAGAAGCAAAAACAGAAAAAAGTTTTTTTCTTTGTGATGAGAACTCTTAGAATTTGCTCTCTTAACTTTCATATATGTCATTATAGCAGAGTTAACTGTAGTGTTTATGCTGTACATTTTTGTATTTTTAACAAGTTTATGTTTCATTATTAAAACTGTTAGTTGTAGGGGCGTTTGGGTGGCTCAGTTGGTTAAGTGTCTGCCTTTGGCTCAGGTCATGATCCCAGAGTCCTGGGATCGAACCCCACATCCTGCTTCATGCTCAGTGGGGAGTCAGCTTCTCCCTCCGCTCATCACCCACTTGTGCTCTCTCTCTCATAAATAGATAAAATATTTAAAAAACTGTTAGTTGTAGATTATGAGATTAGTTACCAAAAATCTGATTAGGTTAAATGCTAAATCGAGAAGTCCTACTTTTCCTCCTTAGTTTTAAGATTATTATTTATATGTATAAAGACAGGAGGGGAAAGTTATAAACACTACAAGGATTTAAGATTATAATAATAAATTTTCCCTTTTTTGTAGAAAACATAGCTCTGCTGGCTGAAACAGCTTTGAGATTCCTGGAATTAGTACAGTTAAAAAATCTCAATATGGAAAATGACCCAAATAGTGAAGAAATAGATGAAGTTACGCATCCCAATGGCAATTACGACACAGGTAATATGATTTTCTCTTCCAGATTTCTTATTATTTGGAATGAATTACTAATGTGGACTTGAAGGAAACTATCATTATAATTTTCATGTAAGATGAAAGAATACCATATATATATATATGGTGTGTGTTTCCTATATATGTATATATATGTGTATATATATATATGTATATATATAGGAAAGGTACCTGGTGTTTCATTGTTCTCTCTACTCTGTATACACTGTATACCAGATACACTGTTACCTAACCAGAAAATGATTAGCTTGTTGCCACAGATTCTAAGTTCAGTTGTTTTTCAGCCACAATTGATTTGTGTCAATAGTAAAGCTAGCTGAATTGTATAATTCTTACAAGATGAAAGAAAAAAACATTGACAACGTCATAGCTAAAGCATCTAAGCCTTTTCTCCTTATGTGAGTGTACTTTGAGTATCCTCAATCATAAACTGTGTTTATGTTGTACTATCTGTGATTATGGATCAAACCCCACACCTTTTGCTTTAAATGAACAGATGTGATGGTAAACTCTTTGAGGTCAAAGTTTCTGTCTTAAGTTTCTTTACATACAAACAACTCTTAGCAGGCTTTTAATTAATGTTTATTGAGTTAAAGATTTAGAAGTAAAAATAATACACTTAGATCTGTTCTAGGATATTTCTAGTTCAGGAAAACTAGAGAAATCTAGTTTTAGATTTTTATGCTATACACAACAGTAATGGCTTTATTACTTATTAGAAGGGCATCATATTTAGCATATATTCTCTGCAGTTGAAGACAGTGGAATAATTTTGAACTTATAGAAGAATGTATCAGAAGGGAAATCCTCGCTTTTTTCATGGAATTACTTAGAAAATGATACTGTCCTACATTCTATAACCATGTAATTGGATGTTTATAGATAATGAAGTTAGGTGTTAAACCTTTTTTGGAGTTGATCTAAAGTTTGTCTTAATGCGAAGATAGTATTTTGCATATCAGACCACCTTTTCTCTTGAAAGTGGCTGCACCAGGAGTGGCCTCTGCCCTCATTCATTAAGCCAACAGATAATTGTTAAACATAAGCTCCGCATTAAGCAATTATGTGCCTGCTCTAAGCCCTAGAAATATAGTGGTGAATAAGACCGAAAAGATCCTCCTGTTGAGCTTACATTTTAGAAGGGAAAGGAAAAAAGGAGGGCGTGTAGGAGATAAAGTCAGAGAAGAAGGTGGTGGCCTTATCATGTAAAGCCTTGACAGGATTTGCAGTATATTTTCTGCTTTCTAAAAATTTAATAAACTGACCTTAAAAATGCTTTCTAAAAGTATTAAATTGTACCATCAGTTTATATCCTTAACAAGTCTAGTATTTTAAGTCCTTGATCAAGTTGATTTTATTGGTGGCAGTATGATCTTTTTGGTATTATCCCATAGTTTTTCTCCTTGAGCCTCAAAAACAGATCTGTTTAATTAATGAGTTGGTAACCATGCTTGTGGCATATGCTTATCAGGGTGTTGTTCTTCAGTTTTTTTTTAAGATTTTATTTATTTACTTGATGGAGAGAGACACAGCGAGAGAGGGAACACAAGCAGGGGGAGTGGGAGAGGGAGAAGCAGGGCTCCCGCAGAGCAGGGAACCCGATGGGGGGCTCGATCCCAGAACCCTGGGATCATGACCTGAGCCGAAGGCAGATGCTTAACGACTGAGCCACCCAGGCGCCCCTGTTCTTCAGTTAATATTTTGGTTTCTCATCTATCCTTCAGAGCTTTGAACAGTGGAAAAACTTAGTGGTTATAGACTTTTTATAGTGACTTCTCTAATTGTTCTTTTTCCTCCAAGGAGTAAGAAAGAAGCCTATGTCTATATCTTGGGGGAAGAAAACTGATCCTATCTTTATTTTATTTTATTTTATTTTATTTTTTTTAGAGCTGCAAGCCTTACATGAAATGGTCCAACAGAAAGTTGTCACTTTGCTAAGTGACCCTGAAAATATTGTGAAACAAACCTTGATGGAAAATGGAATAACACGGCTGTGCGTATTCTTTGGACGTCAGAAAGCCAATGATGTTTTATTGTCTCACATGATCACTTTCCTAAATGATAAGAATGATTGGCATCTTCGTGGAGCTTTTTTTGATAGTATAGTTGGTATGTTTTACCATTTGTTTTAAAATATATCTTTAAGATTTTGAATTGTTCTCTCAAATAGTACTTCTGTGAGGTCTGAAAGATAGGTGACAAGACTACCAATTTCATTAATAATGAAATGAGCTCCTAGTGTTTCTGTCTTTATGCTGCTTTTGGATGATAAAAATATCTTAGCTAATCAAGGGATTGGTTAATTAAATTGTGATTCACTCATATGAAGGAATATCATGTGGTCATTAAAAACAATGTTTTAAAAGAATATTTAATGACCTGGGAAAGTACCATGAAATACTCTTAAAGTGACCAAAGTATTGGTTCTATAAGGTAATATAAACAAATATGTTTATAAAGAAGTCTGGAATATACTAAGATTTATATAGTGATTATCTCTGGGGCTGGGATTGTAGGTGATTATTTATGTTTTTGATATTTGTCAAATTTTTTATAGTAAACATGCATCAGAAAGTAACTTACAATCAGAAAATAACAGTTAAGCTACAAGTGTGAATGAAAATCAATTTAATTAGGCAGAAAATTACAGCTTGCAGGCTATGCTTTGTGTAAACGGAAAATGTGAAAAATTAGTTTTTTTCTACTTTTTTCAAAGTGTTAATTTTTTATTTTGTTCATTTGTTTTTCAGATTCCACATATAAGTGTAATCATATGGTATTTGTCTTTCTCTGATTTTTTTTCACTTAGCATAATACCCTCTAGATCCATCCATGTTGTTGCAAATGGCAAGATCTCATTCTTTTTTTGTGGCTAAGTAATACTCCATTGTATAGATATACCACATCTTCTTTACCATTCATCTATTGACGGATACTTGGTTTGTTTCCATGTCTTGGTTATTGTAAATAATGCTGCAATAAACATAGGGGTACATATATTTTTTCAAATTAGAGTTTTTATTTTCTTTTAGGTAAATACCCAGTCGTGGAATTACTGGATCATATAGTATTTCTCTTAATTTTTTAAGGAACCTCTATACCATTCTCTGCGGTGGCTACACCAATTTACATTTCCACCAACAGGGTACAAGGATTCCTTTTTCTTTACATCCTCACCAACACTTGATGTTTCTTGTGTTTTTGATTCTAGCCATTTTGACAGGTATAAGGTCATTGTGGTTTTGATTTCCATTTTCCTGATGATTAGTGATGTTGAACATCTTTTCATGTATCTGTTGGCCATCTGCATGTTGTCTTTGGTAAAATGTCTGTTTAGGTCCTCTGCCCAGTTTTTTAATCAGATTATTTATTTGGGTGTTGAGTTGTAGAAGTTCTTTATACATGGTGGATATTAACTCCTTGTAAGATACATCATTTGTAAATACTTTCTACCATTCAGTAAATTACCTTTTAGTTTTGTTGATGGTTTCCTTCACTGCAGAAGCTTTTGATTTTGGTGTAGTCCCAATTGTTTATTTTTGCTTTTGTTTCTTTTGCTTGAGGTGACCTATCTAGAACATGTTTCTATGGCCTGCATCTAAGAAATTACTGCCCATGTTTTCTTCTTGGAATTTTATGGTTTCATGTTTTACATTTAGGTCTTTAATCCATTTTGAGTTTATTTTGGTGTATGGTTTAAGAAAGTGGTTCAGTTTCATTCTTTGCATGTAGCTGTCCAGGTTTCCCAGCACCGTTTATTGAAGACACTGACTTTTCCCATTGTATATGCTTGCCTCCTTTGTCATAGGTTAATTGACCACATAGGTGTGGATTTTTTTTCTGGGCCCTTTATCCTGTTTCATTGATTTGTGTGTCTGTTTTTGTGCCAGTACCATACTGTTTTGATTACTACAAGTTTGCAGTATATCTTGAAATCTGGGATTGTGATAGCTCCAGCTTTGTTCTTCTTTCTCAAGATTGCTTTGGCTATTTGGGGTCTTTTGTGATTCTATACAAATTTTAATATTATTCTGGTTTTGTGTAAAATGTTGGCATTTTGATAGGGATTGCATTGAATTTGTAGATTGCTTTGGGTGGTATGGACATTTTAACAATATTTTTCCAACCCATGAGCGTACAGTATCTTTCCATTTGTATCATCTTCCAGTTTCTTTCATCAATGTTTTATGGTTTCCAAAATCCAGTTTTTCACCTCCATGGTTAAATTTATTCCTACACATTTTATTCTTTTCAGTGCAATTGCAGATAGAACTGTTTTCTTACTTTCTCTTTCTGCTGCTTTGTTACTAGTGTGTAGAATGGCAAGATTTCTGTGTATTTTGTATCCTGCAACTTTACTGAATTTATTTATTTTAATAGTGTTTTGGTGAAGTCTTTAGAGCTTACTGTATATAGAATCATGTTATCTGCAAATAGTGACAGTTTTACTTATTCCTTACCAATTTGGATACCTTTTATTTCTTTTCATGTCCAATTGCTGCAGCTTAGACTTCCATTACTATGTTGAATAAAAGTGGTGAGAGTGGACATCCTTGTCTTCTTCCTGTTCTTAGAGGAAAAGCTCTTAGTTTTTCACCATTGAGTATGATGTTAGCTATGGGTTTTTTATATATGGCCTCTAGTATGTTGAGGTTTGTCTCCTCTAAACCTACTGTGTTGAGAGTTTTTGTCATGAACAGATGTTAAATTTTGTCAGAGGCTTTTTCTGCATCTATTGAGGTGACCATATAATTTTATCCTTTGGTTTATTAATGTGATGTATTGATTTGCAAATACTGAACCATCCTTGCATCCCTGGAATAAATCCCACTTGATCATGTGTGGTGAATGATTTTTTTTAATGTATTGTTAAATGCTCATTGAATGGGTTGCTCATATTTTGTTGACGATTTTTGTGTGTATGTTTATCATAGATATTGGCCCACAGTTTTCTTTTTTCTTTTTTCTTTTTTCTTGTGGTGTCTTTGGTTTTGGTGTCAGGGTAGTGCTGGCTTTCCTTCCTCTTCTTTTTTTTGGAATAATTTGAGGAGAATAGGTATTAATTCTTTGAATGGTTGGTAAAATTTACTTGTGAATCCATCTGGTTCTGGACTTTGTTCTTTTGGTGGTGTTTATTTTTTTTTTTAAGATTTTATTGATTTATTTTAGAAAGAGAGCATGAACGGGGGGAGGGGCGGGGGGGAGGGAGAGGGATAAGCAGACTCCATGCTGAGCATGGAGCCCAACTTGGGGCTCAATCCCAGGACTCTGAGACACAGTCTGAGCCAAAACCAAGAGTCAGCTACTTAACAGACTGAGCCACCTCTCAGTGCCCCTCTTTGGGAGTTTTTTGATTACTGATTCAGTTTCATTACTAGTAATTGGTCTGTTCAGATTTTCTATTTTTTCTTGATTACTTTTAGAAGAGTGTATGTTTCTAGGAATTTATCCATTTCTTCTAGTTTGTCCAATTTGTTGGCATATAATTATTTATAGTTTTATCATCCTTTGGATTTCTGTGGTGTCAGTTGTTACTTCTCTTTTGTTTCTAATTAGTTATGAAATAGTATATGCCAAAGCCATGTTATTATGGTTACCAATTAACCTTTTTTTGTATCATTTTGCACGTGATTGTAACAGCTTGTCTGTTAGCTTAAAAGATTGAAAAACTATTCTACATATTGGAAAGCTTCACTGGTATCTGAACTTTCTCATGTATTTGCAGAAAGCTGTAGGGTATATAGATTTTGGTTCCCAAGAATCTAGGAAAGAAAGTAACTGCTAAAAGGTTTGCCTTTGGTTTTTTCCCAAAAAATAAAAAAAGAAAAGAAACTCATAGAGCAACAGTATTGATATTTCTGTAAATGCTGCCATATAATGTTTTGGAGAAAAGGATCCTTTTCTCCGTTTCAAAATTGAATGCTGTTCTTGCTTTGTTACTATTGGAGATTATTGATCTGTTTTCAGACATCTTCATAGTTAAAAAATTAAAAATTTTTTGATGTATAATTGATATATAATATATTAGTTTCAGGTGTACAACAGTGATTCAACATTTACATATATTATAAATGCTCACCACGGTGAGTGTACTTACTGTCACCAAAGTTATTGCAATATTATTGTTTATATTCTATGTTGTATTTTACATTCCATGACTTACTTATTTTATAGTGAAGTTTGTCCCTCTTAATCCCCTTCACCTATTTCACCCGTCTCCTCACCCCTCTTCCGTCTGGCAACCACCAGTTTGTTCTCTGTATTTATGAATCTGTTTCTGTTTTGTTTGATTTTTCATTTTGTTTTTTAGATACCATATATAAGTGAAGTTGTATGTTATTTGTCTTTGCCTGACTTGTTTAACTTAGCATAATACCCTCTAGGTCCATCCATGTTGTTACAAATGGCAAGATTTCACTCTTTTGTGACTGAGTAATACTCCATTGTATATATGTACCACATCTTCTTCATCCTTTCATCTGTTTTGTTTTTTTTTTTTAAAGATTTTATTTATTTATTTGACAGAGAGAGTCAAAGCGAGAGAGGGAACACAAGCAGGGGGAGTGGAGAGGGAGAATCAGGCTTCCTGTTGAGCAGAGAGCCCAATGTGGGGCTCGATCCCAGGACCCTGGGATCATGACCTGAGCCAAAGGCAGATGCTTTTAATGACTGAGCCACCCAGGTGGCCCCATCCTTTCATCTATTGATGGACACTTAGGTCCCTTCCATATCTTGCCTATTGTAAATAATGCTGTAATGAAAATGGGAGTACAGATGTCTCTTTGAGAGCCTGAATTCATTTATTTGGATATATACCCAGAAGTAGAATTGCTGGGTAATATGGTATTCCTATTTTTAAATTTCTGAGGAACTTCCATGCTGTTTTCCATAGTGGCTGTATCAATTTACATGCCCACCAGTAGTACACAAGGATGCTCTTTTCTCCACATTCAGGTCCTTTGCTCATTTTGTAATTGGATTGTCTGTCTTTCTGGTGTTGAGTTGTATAAGTTCTTTATATATTTTGGATATTAACCCCTTATTGGATATATCATTTGCAAATATTTTTTCCCATTCAGAAAGTTGCCTTTTTGTTTTGTTGATGGTTTTTTCCACTGTTTGTATTAGTTTATTGATTCATCTCAGACTCCTCTAACTCTATTCTTATACTTTGCTTCTCACATCTTTGTCTTTCTTGCTTTCTTCTTTCAAATCTTATTTTTATTTCTTTTTTGTGGAAAAGGTGGTGCTTAGAACTTCCATCTGTTGATCAATTCATGTGTATTTTGAATCATGCCTTAATGTTTTTAATTCTAAAATAACTTTCATTGTTTGTATTTTGTTTATAAAAGTAATATATGTTTGCTGTAGAAAAAAAAATTTTTTTTTTTTAAAGATTTTATTTATTTATTTGACAGAGAGAGACAGCGAGAGAAGAACACAGGCAAGGGGAGTGGGAGAGGGAGAATCAGGCTTCCCGCGGAGCAGGGAGCCCGATGTGGGGCTCGATCCCAATCATGACCTGAGCCTAAGGCAGATGCTTAACGACTGAGCCACCCAGGCGCCCCTGCTGTAGAAAAGTTGGAAAATAAAGAAACCAAGAAGAAAATAAATCACCTCTAATCTTACAGTCCTTTATGACGTCTGTTAATGTTTTGGTGTTTTAATTCTATAGGTCACTCTCTCTTCTTTCCATTCCATTTTTGCCATCTTGTCATATATGTCATGAGGCACTGTTGTGTACCTGGTAAGAGTAGGTATTCTATTCTGGAGCCATACTGTTGGATTCATGTTCTGGCTTTGTCATTTACTAGTTGTGGTTGATGGGGAAATCATTTAATGTCTTTTTTCCTTAGTTTCTGTATTTGTAAAATGGGAATAACACTAGTACCTATCTGGGGACTCCTGGTTGGCTTAGTCGGTTAAGTGTCTGCCTTTGGCTTGGGTCATGATCCCCAGTCCTGGGATCAAGCCCCACTTTGCTCCCTGCTCAGCGGGGAGCCTCCTCACCCCCCCGCTTATGTGTGCACGCGTGCGTGTGCTCTCTCTCTCAAATAAAATCTTGAGAAAAATAATAGTACCTATCTGTTGTGTTGTGAAGATAAAATGAACTAACATATGTAGTAGTGCTGGGCACAGAAGTATTATGTATGTATTATATTACTTCTTAATCTTATTATTTTTTAATTCTTTTTCTGGTGACATATTCTAAGCATTTTCTCATGTCATTAAAATTTTTTTGAAACCAGCGTGCCTGGGTGGCTCAGATGGTTAAGGATCTGCCTTTGGCTCAGGTCGAGCCCCACGTCAGGCTCCCTGCTCAGCGGGGAGCCTGCTTCTCCCTCTGCCTCTGCCTGCTGCTCCCCCTGCTTGTGCTTTCTCTGTCAGATAAATAAATGAAATCTTAAAAAAAAATTTATTTGAAACCATAATTTAATAGATGAAGATAGTCCATTATATGGTTTTACCCAAATTTATCACTTTTGGATATTTAAATTATTTTCATTTTTTCCTTTCATATAGAGATAATATTTTACATAAATATTTGCTTCTGATTATTTTCTCAGGATAGAAGTCTGAAATTTTAATTATTGGGTTAAAGAATATGAATATATTTTTAAAACTCCTGATGCATTTTATAAGCATTTCAAAAAACATTGTATCATTTTCCATTCTGATCAGCATCGTTTGAACCTACTGCATACCCTTCAGCATGGAATAGGCTTCACATAATCTTTGCCTGTTGGTATGGTAAAATGATAACTTGTTTTGATGTATATTTCTGTGTTTATTTGTGGAGGTGAAAAATTTCTCATGTTGATTACTTATTCGTACTTCTTCTGTGAATTTTTTATTTATTATTTTGACCCTTTTTTTTTTCTTAAAGATTATATTTATTTATTTGACAGAGAGATAGAGAGAAAGCAGAAGTAGGCAGAGAGGCAGGCAGAGGGAGAGGGAGAAGCAGGCTCCCCGCTGAGCAGGGAGCCCGATGTGGGGCTTTATCCCAGGACCCTGGGATCACGACCTGAGCTGAAGGCAGACGCCTAACCACTGAGCCACCCAGGCGCCCCTGTTTTGAGCCTTTTATAAATGTACATTAAAATTTTTAATCATTGGCAAATACTTTTCTCAAGTAACTTGTTAGGTAATAATCTGTTGGGTGCACATCTTTTTTTTATAATGCTTTATTTTTCACACTTAACTGTTTAATTGATCGTTATTTTGGTCTGCGGTGTAAAGTGAAATCTGATTTTCCTCAGAAAAATAATCAGTTTTCCTGACACTATTTAAACACTTCATTTCTTTCCCATTGATTGATGAAGCTTATGTTATTATGTGTTGCGTGCTTGTGTCTTTCAGTTTTAGTTTTCTTGGTATCTCTTCTATTCCCTTGATTTCTCATTTCTGTACTCAATTTTATATTCTCTTATTATAGTTATATTTATTATATCATAATTATTCTAGATTTATAAGCAACTTTAGTATCTGGTAGGTTAAGCTCCCCAGATGTCAATCTTATTTTCCAAAGGATTTTGAGCTATTTTGGCTCATTATACATTTCTAACTTTGTAAAGTTCCTAAATATAATCCGCTGAGATTTTAGGTAGTATTTTTCCGTTTATTAAAGAAAAATTTCTGTAATTACTTATCAATTATAGGAGAAATATGCTTTTGTAAATTATTCAAAGTCTGCAATGTATTAAAAGCAATAGTTGCATTTTCCAGAAGCAGCTACTCTGGATTTTGTTTTTAGTTTGATATCTTCAGGTGTTTATTGCCATATCTCTAATATTTTTCTACTACTTTCAAGAATTATTGACTTTAGACTTTAATCTCTTGACTTTTTTTCTATGCCACATGAAGTTTTGTTTTGTTTTTCTTTTAAAGATTTTATTTATTTATTTGACAGAGACAGGAGAGAGGGAACACAAGCAGGGGGAGTGGGAGAGGGAGAAGCAGGCTCACCGCCGAGCAGGGAGCCTGATGCGGGGTTTGCTCCCAGGACCCTGGGACCACAACCTGAGCTGAAGACAGACACTTAATGACTGAGCCACCGAGGCTCCCCTATGCCACATGAAGTTTTAACTCATACCATTTCCTGATCCCTCTTCCCCTCTGTTTTTGAGATGTCGATCACTATTTTCAGTACTTTAGTTTTTGTGTGTTGTTTTTATAACTTTGAATAATTAAACCTACTTCTTGTTGATCTACTTCTGGACTACAAGGAGATGAGTGCCCCTTTCTCTTCTTTTCCTTGTTGGTAGGTTCTTTCTGCCAATTATTGATTGACAGTTCAACTAACAAATGCATTGCATAGTTGATAATATTTATATTTTGTTCTGTAGTCATAATAAAGTCTTGTGCTTGTATAGACTGATTCTGAAATTTCAAAGCAAAATTTACATGATTATGTGTAAATTTTATTGACTTTAGAACCAAGTAGTGTACTATATTTGCTTCCCCACAGTTCTAATGCCATGATTCCTTTATCACTTGATGAAAATGTTTAGGATGTCATCAGTGGATTCTTTCTGTCTTCTGCAGATTATTAAGGACATTGCACATTTTAATTTACTTTTTATTTATACCACTATTTTCTTGAACAATTTTTTGTTTGTTCTGGGCTTTCAGATTCCTTTGTTTTCCTTTCGAAAGAAAGAAATACATCTTCTTTACCTTGTCTGTAATATCAAGCTTCTTTCTTACCAGTTTTACCTATTGCTTGTAATCTATTCCATTTTTCTTTTTGATAACATTTTTGAAATTTATTGGCTTTTTGTTCTAATTTGGCTGATTGATTTCTGAATCTTTGCTAGCTATTATCAGTTTATCCCCTTGAATTCCTGGGTTGTATCTGTCATTTTTGTATATTGTGCATTTTTTTTTTTTATTTTGCTGAAGAACATCCTCAAGAAACTTTCTTAGGTAGGGTTGCATGGGAAGTTAACCTGGATAGTCTTTGTATGTTTTAAAATGACTTTTTTTGTTCTCTTATTTTATTGGCAGTTTAAGTGTAAAATTTATTTCACAACTTTGGAGGTCTTGCTCTGTTGTGTTCTAGCCTCCGTTGTTGCTAAAGAATATTTTGTGAAGATCGTTTTCATTGTTCCTCTTTCCTTTTTAGGGGACATATTTTTCTTTCTCTAAGTTCGTAAGATCTTTTTTTTCCCTTGGTGTTCCAGAATTTCTTGGTGATTTGCTTTGGTATGGATCTTTTTCATATATTGTGCTGAGTAGGAAGTGCGATGGCCTATCCTGGATTGTTGCTCAATATATTTGGGTTTTGATTAATTTTATTGTTTAACTTAATGGCATTTGTACTTTCAGGTATAGAATAATCATGTGATGTTGCTTCTCTTTCAGGTGTTGCTGCGTATGTTGGTTGGCAGAGCTCCTCAATTCTCAAACCCCTGCTGCAGCAAGGTCTTAGTGATGCTGAGGAATTTGTTATTGTTAAAGCTCTTAATGCCCTTACCTGTATGTGCCAGTTAGGGCTGCTGCAAAAACCCCACGTCTACGAATTTGCCAGTGATATTGGTAAGTTTCTGTTTCTTAAAATTAGAAATAGGAAATTAAGGGTGTCTTAAGGGAAATAACAAATGAGAGAGCGTTGTAAAAGTTCTAGGCAATATAGAGTCAGATTTTCAACTTTATTGTCCCGTGTGTGTGTGTGTATGTGCATACTTACGTGCATGTTCACGTATGCTTGCAGGTATACAAGAGACAGGCAGGCAAACAAACAAGGTCATTTGGTCCACTAGCCCAGCTTGGGAAATAGCTCTTTGTTTTTATCTGTAGATAAGTCTTTAACTTGAAAAATAGATTGTTTTGTTTTGTTTCATTTTTAACATGATGTAGATAAAGTCTTCAACTGCTTTGGAGAGTCAACCTATTTTTTGAACAATTGACCACTAGTCAGGAAGTTGAAATTGAATGTACAGGATTGTCTATGACATCTGCCATTGCACTGATTGCCACCTAAGAATTCATAGTGTTGAAGTTACTACTGTTAACAATTTTATTAACCAGTGAAAAGAATTAATGTTTAACCTTTATAGTACTTAGCCTATTTCCCTCAATTTAAAATTCAGAATAAGGGCAAACAAGTAAATATGACACTTTCTAAAATTAAGAATATCTGGAACTTTTAGTCTTCTTATCACTTCATTTTAAGATAGTAAGCAATATAAGATACTAAGTTGGCTCTGTCTTGAGAGGACATGAAATCTTAGAAAATTGCCTTTTTTGGATAAAATGCTTAATTGCTGCTAAATGCTTTGCCAAGGAAAATTAATAGAAAGCCAAATTGGTTGGATTTGGTTATAGGTTATTCTTGAGGCAGTCCTCAGAGAAAAAAGACAAAGGAGTTATGATTTATTTTGATTGTTGAGAAAGTAGGTAGTAGCTTGTAGAGATGTATCAAATTTCTGGAAAACAAATTTTTTTTTAAACATTCTTTTTTTTAAGGTTTTATTTATTTGTCAGAGAGAGAGAGAGCACAAGCAGGGGGAGTGGCAGACAGAGGGAGAGGGAGAAGCAGGCTCCCCGTGGAGCAGGGAGCCCAATGTGGGGCTCGATTCCAGGACCCTGGGATCATGACCCGAGCCGAAGGCAGACGCTTAACCAACTGAGCCACCCAGGCGTCCAAAATTTCTGGAAATTTTTAAGGCATGAATGTAGCTTTTTAAAAAATATTTGTGGAAAATTTATATGGAGGTTTCTTATTTTACATTCTAATATCTATAGTTGTTCTTTTAGTTCATAATCTTAATTTGGTTTGAATTTTTTATGAATATGTTCAAAATAATTACAAATTTTAGAAATTGTTGAGTATTGGCACCACAATCATGATGAGAATCTCGATTACACTGAATTGTTTTTGGTTTTTCATATAAGCTATGAGTGCTGTGTAGTGTAAGGGCAGATATAGAAAGCAGTGTTTTCCATAATAATATTAAGGAGAAAATGTATTGTCTTAACATGCATATCATGCTATATGGAATGTTTTCCTGCTCATTTTCATTTTCTGAATTCTCACATAGTGCTTTCTTTTTTCTCCTATGAAAGTGGCATTACCTTTATGGGTCAAGTTTTTTTTGCCTTTGATTTTGATCCTCCTTATTTTAATGAATATTCTCTGTATATAAATATTTACGTGTATGTTCTAATTTCATATAATTTCTCTTTTTTTTGTAAAGACTTTATTTACTTAGGGGCGCCTGAGTGGCTCAGTTGGTTAGGCGACTGCCTTCGGCTCGGGTCATGATCCTGGAGTCCCGGGATCGAGTCCCGCATCGGGCTCCCTGCTCGGCAGGGAGTCTGCTTCTCCCTCTGACCCTCCTCCCTCTCATGCTCTCTGTCTCTCATATAAATAAATAAAATCTTTAAAAAAAAAAAAAAAAAAAAAGACTTTATTTACTTAGAGAGAGAGGCATGAGTTGGTGGGGAGGGGTATAGCGAGAGCAGGGAGCTGAGCAGGGAGCCCGATGTGGGGCTCCATCCCAGGACCCTGGGATCATGACCTGAGTGGAAGGCAGACACTTAACCGACTGAGCCACCCAGGCACCCCTCATATAATACATTTTTTTTGTTGCCTAATTACTTGGAAACTTTTTTTTGAGACTTCATGTAGCTTATAATTAGCATTTGATTTATCTGAAAAATGGATGTCTATCAATTTTTAAGCAAAAATCATCATAAATATAGTTTTTATCCCTCTTCTCAAATTTTACAGAGATTTTTCTGTGTTCTGCAGCTTCTTGTCATTGATCATAGGACAAACATATGGGACACTCTGTATCTTTAGTTTAGCATCAAAATAAATGTATCTTTATATTTAGGTATAGAATAAACTCAGTATGGTACAACTTCTTGGATAGGGAACTCCCTTAGAACTGGAACTGAATTTGGGTACTATCTGTGGGGGGACAAAGCTTTGCTGAAAAAAATCAACTAAATCATCCGTTGGCATTTTGAACTATTTCAAAGAACAAACAATTTTTAGTAATTTAGAAACACCTTTAAAACATAAACTGCATACATCTCTCTGTTGTTCTGTTTTTATGTGTAGTCTATTATAGTTATTACTAAAGGGAATGGTGGTGGTGATAATGGCATCATGATTTCTTTGACAGTTTTGAAAAAAAACTACACTCTTCCCACTTAGGTATTATGCATACTCCCCTTCCCTCATGCTTGTTCCCATATAATTGGAATGTATTGGATAGAGAAAAGATCAAGTACACTGTTTTATAGGAAATCCTCTTGAGTGTTTGAGGTTCTTTGTATCAGCTACTTACTGATACAATGATGCTGTACGATAGTCAACCATAAAATCTCAGTGAATGCTTTAGTAAAGTTCTCATCATGAATGTGTGGGCTGTATGGGTGGCTCTGCTTTAGGCTTTGTATCTCCAGATTGTAGTGAGAGTGACCCATCTGTCTCATTCTGGGTCCCATGTTAGATGGGCAGCAGTTTCTTGGGTTATGTTCTAGGTGATGGCAGAAGCATGAGACAGCAAGCCTAGCTATGTAGCACATTTCAGGCCTCTGTTAGTGTTATATCTGCTAATATCCCACTGGCCAGAGCAGGTTGATATGACTGAGCTAAAAGCAAGAGGCAGAAAAGTACCCTTTGTATACCATGAGCACAAGGCAAAGAGTGTGGTTGTGTAACAGAGATAATGTAAAGAATTGGGACCAGTAGTTCAGGCTCATACAGTGCCTAACTTCTGCCACGTCATTTTGGGTTTAGCTACTTTCTGGAGGTTCTTCGGTATTTTTTCAGTCCTCATTTTGCCTGTTGTCAAAGGGAAACTACCAGCCCTCCTTTGTTGTTGTATCAGAGGCTGCATGGTGCTTATGAAATAATTAAAACCTCCTTCATGTGTAATTAAAAGAATTGGAAATGGGAGAACTTCGGAGACGGATATTTTGAACAAATTTTTTCTCCTCTCTTTTATCTAGGTAATATTGGCATATGACAGTGTTCTTATTTCTCTATTACCCTACATTTCTTGTAAAATTAATATCCTCTAAATGCTGATGTTTTAGCATACTTAGAACAATTATATGTATACGTACATATTTTTTCTTTTAGAAGTTTTATTCTAAATCGGGTTTAAAAGTTTTAATTTTATTCTAAATCTTAGTTTGATTAGTTGAAGTCATTGATTTTTAAGTGTAATATACAAGATAGTTAAAAGGGGTGAAAAGACATTCATTTACTTTTCTGGTTTAATATTATATATATATATATATTTAAATTTTTATTATTTTTTAAAGATTTATTTGAGAGAGGGAGAGCAGAGCGAGAGAGAGAGAAAGAGAGAAAGAGCACCAGCTGGGTTGAGGGGCAGAAGGAGAGGGACAAGCAGACTCCCCGCTGAGCAGGGAGCCCAATGCTGGGCTCGATCCCAGGACTTGAGCTAAAGGCAGATGCTTAAACGACTGAGCCACCCAGGCGTCCCTAATCTTATATTTTAAACTCTTTAAGAATGGGCATCATATTTTCTGCCTTTAGTTCTATTCATAATGCCTTGTGAATGAATTTATGAATGTTGTATTAGATTTTATCAAACCTTTTCATTTAAAAGAATGTCAGATAAATAGCTCTAAAAATTCTTTAATGGTATTATTGCTGCTGTGTATGATAGGGAATATTATAATATTAGTATGTTGAGTTGAGTTTATGCCATAGGATAATTGAGTATGTGAAGACAGCTGATAGTAACATTGGGGTATAATCCCTTTATCAGTTGTGTTATAAAGTGAAAATTTGTTTATCCCAATTGGATAAACATGGTTTAAATCCATACCTTTTTCTTTTCCTGTTTAGCCCCATTTCTGTGTCATCCCAATCTATGGATACGCTATGGTGCTGTAGGATTTATCACAGTGGTAGCTCATCAAATAAGTACAGCTGATGTATACTGCAAACTGATGCCTTACCTAGACCCATATATTACTCAACCAATAATACAGGTATGCTTGTTCCAACTTGGCCTCAGTCCTCTCCAAATTGTGCCCGTTAAAAAAAAAGGTTTAGAAAGTCCTATTTTTATTTAAATTTTTAAAGATTGAATTAGGCTACAGTATTTTCACATTCCTTTAAGCTAGTTAATGTTAATGGAACAAACAGTATTGAGGTTGAGAAAAGTTCAAGAGACTGTTGTGTTATACATCATTTTATGCATAATGTAGCACTCAATAGTTTATGCTTTATTATGTGCAGTGTTGTAAAACGTGTGCTGTTAAAGTGAAATACAGTGGAAATATTGACGGGCCTCTACTTTTATTGTAAAAAGTATAACTGATTTTTAGCCGAAGTCAGCATTTATAATAAATTGGAAAAAGCCTTTTACAGATGTTCGTTTTCTTTGGACCAATAACTGGTTCTGGTTTTTTTTTTCTGTTCTTTTTCATTATCTTAATCTAATCTTTTAAAATCTGATTTAATCTTTTTTTTTTTTTTTAAATCTAATGACTTGTGCCCCCCTCCTCTCTTCCCATAGCATAAATTTCAGGTTTTTGGTTTGTATAAAGCAGTTATTTACCCAACTTGTCAGCACTTACATGTTTTAGCTTCCTAGAAAGCTGACTATCAAAAAATAATCTAAATTGAGTGAACTGTTGAGAGATGATTCTGGCTATTAAAATATTCTGAAATTTTTTTTTTTTTTTTTTTTTTTTTTACTAAAACTCTATTTCCCTTTTGCAAATTCACATGCTTCTAGCTTCTGCTACTTTTATATTCCAATGCACCTTTCCCTTGGTTGGAGAGAATGATCGTGGATATATTCTGGAAATGAGGAGGCTTTGGCTGTGCCTTCCATCCTTTTCCCCAGAGATTCATCCATTTTTGGGGATCATCATTCTTCGTTTCATAGTTTGTAGAATTTTTTATTTTTTTTTTTTATTTTTTTTTTAAATTTTTTTTTTTTAAGATTTTATTTATTTGCAAGAGAGAGAATGAGAGACAGAGAGCATGAGAGGGAGGAGGGTCAGAGGGAGAAGCAGACTCCCTGCTGAGCAGGGAGCCCGATGCGGGACTTGATCCCAGGACTCCAGGATCATGACCTGAGCCGAAGGCAGTTGCTTAACCAACTGAGCCACCCAGGCGCCCATAGTTTGTAGAATTTTTAATTTTTATCTTAGCAATTTCTATATACACATATATATGAAAGATGGATAATATTACTAGAAAATATGTCTTTTTAATTAATTAATTTTTTTTTAAAAGCTTATTTATTTTAGTAGTATCTCAGTACCCAACACGGGGCTCAAACTCACAACCCCGAGATCAAGAGTTGCATGTTCTTCCAACTGAGCCAGCCAGGCAATGCCCCAGCCTTTTCTATTTCTTTTATTTAAAATTTTTTTTTATATTTTTATTTTTCTTAAAGATTTTATTTATTGATTTGACAGAGAGAGGGAGAGACAGCACACAAGGAGGGGGAGTGGCAGGCAGAGGGAGAAGCAGGCTCCTCACTGAGCAGGGAGCCCGATGCGGGACTCGATCCCAGGACCCTGGGATCATGACCTGAACCGAAGGCAGATGCTTAACTGACTGAGCCACCCAGGCACCCCAATTTCTTTTAAAGTTTAATAAATTTTCTTGGAAATCTGGTCTAGGGATTCTCACTACTTTTGGCTACTTATTCCATTTAGAAGTTTGTTTATGAAACTCTTTTATAACACAATGTGGAGAAAGTATCCCTGGGAATTAAAAATTGCATTCATTTGTAGTAACTTAGTGGTAGTTTACTGTAATAAATCTAACATTAAAAAAAAATCTGACATTAGGTGGTTTTTTAGAAATCTACACCACTCTTTGTTTTCTCAGGAATATATATGTATTTCTCAGGAGATATATATATTTTAGTAGTATCTCAGTACCCAGTATGAGGCTCATATTTTTTTTCTTTTTTCATTGCTTTATTTTTTGAAAGGCTAGGATTGGGAGTTGAGAGCCTAATTATCCATATGCTTCATAAATCTGCCTTTCTACAGTTTGAATTAGACAAAAGATACCCTTTTATGCTGGTTTGCACTGGCCAGCTTATCAGGTAGTTAAATATGTCTAAAGAAAATGCTCTTCGTTGTGGTTAGTATGCTCATCCTTTTTATTATATATCCATTGACAAGGAGGGTGTTTTGGGGATAAAAAAAGGAAGGATTTCATGAACTCTGTGGAGATAGTGATGCTTTTTAAGAAGGGGTTGAATCTACTGGGAAACGTGATGATTGCTGGGCAGCCCTGTGACTGTTGAGCATCTTTTCTCAGTCAGTACCTGCTGGCTGTTAGACCTGTGAGCCCCAGGTACTTTTGATCTAGGAGATCATCTGACATTTTGGCATCCAGAAAAAGTCTCTGTCGTTTTCTAAATTTTTCTAGCCTGGGTATATACTATTATTCTTCCAGTATGGAATACACATATGTGTACTCACATGCTAACTATGTAAAGAAAAACCTTAGCTCTTAAAGGTCACTAGTATTCTTTTTTCTTCTAAGCAAAAATTGCAGATGTTGATTTCGCCTGTTTTTTAGAAAATAAATACCTATACTAACTTTGCACAGGTTGTATTTACTGAATATGAAAATAACTGTACTATATGTTGTATCTTTGGCTAATTCTTTTTATTTTCCTAATATAGATTGAAAGGAAACTTGTCCTACTCAGTGTTTTAAAAGAGCCAGTAAGTCGTTCTATATTTGATTATGCTTTGAGGTCTAAAGATATTACTAGCTTGTTCAGACATCTTCACATGCGCCAGAAGAAACGAAATGGTTCTCTTCCTGACTGCCCTCCACCGGAGGATCCTGCCATAGCACAACTTCTGAAGAAATTGCTCTCACAGGTTGTATCACCTTTCTGAAATCTTCCATTTAAACAAAAATTGCATAAAAACATTCAAGCATCCATTTAGTTATTAAAAATATTTTTGGTTGATTAGGTTGCATCACAACAAATGAGTAAATAAACCTGGCAAATATCATATACATTTACCTTGGAATCTAGGAGATGCTAGGATGATGATAAGGCATTGGTTTGAGCTAAATAAAGAATGATGGTAGACCTATTAAGTTTGTTTTGTGATTATTGCCTATATAAATAAGGGAGAGAGTAGATATAACCTTAGATTTGAGTAATATTCTTAATTCAGTTCCATAATTCACCAAAAAAAAAAAAAAAAAAACCCAAGAAGAAGAAAAAAAATTCAATTAGAAGAAACATTGCAAAGCATAGATGCAGGACAGAAAGATCCTGGTTTATTTCAGTCCAAATTTCGAGAGTTCTCACTACATGCAAACAGCTGATATAACTGGGATTTATAATGCATCTTAGATTAAATAAACCAGGTACTACTGTATATTAAAAGCCTATGAATTTGGATCAATTAACAAATCTTGTTAGAACTAGGAAGTAGTCTTTTTATTATACTTGGAATTAGTAAGGCCTCTTTAGAAATAGTAAGTCTAGATTCAGTGTCCTGTTTTAAGGAGGGATATATGGAACTTAAAGAAGTCAAGATAGAAATGAAAATGGTTAGAAATAAAGAATACGATTTCTGAATAAATGCTCCATGAGCCAGAAAGCAAATGAGAGATAACTTTAATGATGGTCTTTAAGTCTGTAGGACATTTTGATTAAGAGAATACTTGTCAGTCATGTCTTATCTAAGAAGAAGATGAGAAAATGCTTCAATTGGCAGAGAGAATTTGTTAAGTTTGAAGATATAAATCCTTTCTTGTATTGTACATGCTCCTGTGTTGGTTTGGGTGATTGAATATCCCATAGGAGCCTGGTCAATAACCATTTTGGTTCTTCTGGGTCTCAATTTGCCTGGAGGCTGGAGCTGCCTCTGAAAGTCCCTTCCAGGCCAGTGGTTCTGTTTCCTGTATTTTAGAAGACTTAATTTGATGTGACTTGAATTACCAAAGAGCTTTTTCTTTGGGTTTTCTTTTAACCTTGGCTCGTACATTACATGTATTTTATATTTTAGAAAGCAATTTATGGAAAATTGGATATTGAATCACATTTTCTTATTGTTTCTCTTGAGTAAGTAATCCTTATCAAAAAGATTTCAGCATGCAATAAAAACTACCCCAAGTTAGATGTTTCTTTGGGCTTAGATGGTGTGATTCTTTGTATTTCTCTCTCCTGCAAATTCTGTATATTAAATTAAAAGCTTCTATACTATGTAAAATTTCATTGTAAGTCATTAGTTACTTAGGGCCACTCTAGCCCCCAGTTCTGGCTTTTCACCTTGCTGTGCATATAGGTTTTGCCATTGCCATGGGTAAAAAGAGGGAGGGGGAAGGAGCCGTTGCCATAGCCTTTTTGCTTTCTGCTTCCTACTGTTCTCCCGAACCCTTCTACCATCACTGCTTCTACAGCCACCCTCATTATTGGGTACCATGATGAAATCAGTAAAACGCACTGACTTGTATTCCTCTGACATGTTAGTACTTGATGTATTCATTTGTCTGTCATTTGCACCCTCATTCGTATGAGTGGGGAAGAGGACCATGTTTTCCCTGGTTTTATGTTGTTTCTGTTAACAACAGTTTTTGGAGACTCCCTAGTCTGTCTCAAGGGACAGGCGCTACTAGTAGGAGGGAGAGCAGGCCAGAATCTCTGAGGTCCTCAGAAGAAGTAACAGCAGATTACCAGCTTCCATTTTTTGAGGACCTACAATGAGACTACTAGTGCAGTTGGTACTTTCCATATTTTGTGACTGTCCTTATATAACAAGCTTGAACAACAATGGGGGTGTCATCCCCATTTTATAGTTAAGGAAACTGTAACTCAGTGAGGGTAGTTAAGTTGCCTATGCTCACACAGTTCAGTAAGCTTCAAAGCTGACATTGGAACCTAAACCCATCTAACTCCTTTACCATGCCATCTTCCCCCCACGGAAGATTTATTTATTTATTTATTTGTCAGAGAGAGAGAGAGAGAGAGCATGCACAAGCAGGGGGAGTGGCAGGCAGAGGGAGAAGCAGGCTCCCCACTGAGCAGGGAGCCCGATGCGGGACTTGATCCCAGGACCCCGGGATCATGACCTGAGCTGAAGACAGACACTTAACGACTGAGCCACCCAGGTATCCCGTTCACCATGCCATCCTGCCTCAAAATAAAGGACAGGAAACTAAGGCTGAGAGGCTTGCCTAAGTTTTTTATGGACTTAGGAGGAGTCCATGTGCAGTTAATCTCCTCCAGCCCCTTGCATGCTTTTTGTCTGCCTTCACTTCATTTTGGTCCCTGCACTAACCTGAGTTTCTTGGGATTACTGAGAGAGGCTTGGAGTCAGGGGAGACTTTGGAGGTAGGCATTGAATCCCTGTTCCTAATGTCAGGGATATAGAGGGAAGGATGCTTTTAGCCTCTGCAAAGGGGAATTCTGAATACTCCTACAAAATATTTTTTAATTGGGGTTTTACAGTGCTCTTTTGTATAGGACTGCACTTGAGATACATCATGGGTGAAATAGGCTTTTCTAGACCAGCCTAGCATTGTCTCTATGGGAAAATATGTTCAGGGTTCTGGTTAATAGATTTTTAAAGTACACTTTTGGAACTTATGGAAGTTAGAATCTGCTTGAACTCCAGATTTTCAATAGAATTTACCATCTGGAGGTGATACATGGCGGGGCTATTTTAGAATCACATCTACAAGAGCTCTCTGTTTTGTTTGTATCCATTTGATCATGTGCTAATACAGAATAAGAATATTCTGATTTCACTCCTTTAAAAAATGACAAATACTTCAAATTTTTAATTTTTTAATGATTTTTATTTGATTGGTAGTATAGACACAAGGTATAAAATTGAAAAGATGTTGGAAGATCTATAATAAAATAGAAGTTTTTCTACAATCCCTGATCCCCAGCCACCCAGTTTCTTTCTCTGTTGATTGTGAATTTTACGTTATTAGAGTGCTGAATTCCTTTATATAGTGTCAGATTGTTGTGTTGTACAGTTAAGTTACTTGGAATCACTTTGATCCTTTTAAGCCTTGCTTTTTTTTTTCTTTTTTTAAATTTTTAAATCCAGTATAGTTAACATACAGTGTTATCTTAGTTACAGGTGTACAATATAGTGATTCAGCAATTCTGTACATTATCCATTGCTCATCCAGATAAGTGTACTCTTAATTTCCTTCACCTATTTCACCCATCCCCCCACCCCCACGTCCCCTCTGGTAACCATCATTTCTCTGTAGTTAAGAGTCTGTTTTTTTTTGTCTCCCTTTTTTCCTATGTTCATTTGTTTTGTTTCTTAAATTCTACATATGAGTGAAGGCATATGGGATTTGTCTTTCTCTGACTGGCTTTTTTCGCTTAGCATTACATTCTTTAGATCTATCCATGTTGTTGCAAATGACAAGATTTCATTCTTTTTAATGGCTGAGTAATATTCCATTGTGTATATATAGCACATCTTCTTTATCCATTCATCTATCAGTGGACACTTGGGCTGCTTCTAAATTTTGGCTATTGTAAATAATGCTGCAGTAAACATAGGGGTGCATATATCTTTTCGAATTTGTGTTTTTATATTCTTTGGGTAAATACACAGTAGTGGAATTACTGGATCATATGGGTAGTTCTAGTTTTAATTTTTTGAGGAACCTCCATACTGTTTTTCACAGTGGCTATGCCAGTTTGCATTCCTTGCATGAGGGTTCCCTTTTTTCCACATCCTTGTCAATACTTACTATTTCTTGTCTTTTTTATTTTAGCCATTCCGACTGGTGTGAGGTGATATCTTAGTGGTTTTGATTTGCATTTCCCTGATGATGAGTGATGTTGAGCATCTTTTCATGTATTTATTGGCTATGTGTATGTCTTCTTTAGAAAAATGTTTATTCATGTACTCTGCCTATTTTTTTAATTGGATTATTTTTTTCTTGTGTTGAATTGTGCAAGTTCTTTATATATTTTAGATACTAACCCCTTACTGGATTTATCATTTGAAAATATTTTCTCCCATTCATTAGGTTTTTTTTTTATTGATGGTTTTTTTGATGTTTCCTTTGCTATGCAAAAGCTTTTTATTTTGCTGTAGTCCCCGTAGTTTATATTTGCTTTTGTTTCCCTTTCTTGAGAAGACATACCTGGAAAAATGTTTCTATGGCCCACGTCAAAGAAATTACTGCCTATCTTCTCTAGGAGTTTTGTTGTTCCAGGTCTCACAATTAGGTCTTTAATTTATTTTGAGTTTATTTTTGTGCATGGTTATGAGGTTATAAGGAAGTGGTCTGGTTTATTCTTTTGCATGTAGTTGTCCAGTTTTCCCAGCACCATTTATTGAAGAGACTGTCTTTTCCCATTGTACATTCTTGCCTCCTTGTCGAAGATTAATTGACCATATGAGTAGGGGTTTATTTCTGGGTTCTCTATTTTGTTTCATTAATCTATATGTCTTTGTGCCAGTATCATACTGTTTCGATTACTGCAGCTTCGTAGTATCTCTTAAATTCTGGGATTGTGATACTTGCAGCTTTGTTCTTCTTTCTCAAGATTGCTTTGGCTATTTGAAGTCTTTTGGGATTCCATACAAATTTTAATATTATTTGTTCTTCTGTGAAAAATGTTGGTATTAGGGATTGCATTGAATACAGATTGCTGTAGATTGCTTTGGGTAGTATGGACATTTTAACAATATTAATTCTTCCAATTCATGAACATAGAATATCTTCTCATTTGTGTTGTCTTCTTCAATTTCTTTCATTGATGTTGTATAGTTTTCAGAGTATAGGTTGTTCACCTCCTTGGTTAAGTTTATACCTAGGCATTTTATTCCTTTTTACTTACTTATTTATTTATTTATTTTTATTCTTTTTTTTTTTTTTT